TGATCCAAATATTTTGATGAGTAATACCGCCTTTAGTTGACTCCCGTCCCAAGTAGCACGGCTACACTTCCAGCCCTAGTGTTTCTCTTCTTTGGCCGCTACCTCTCGATTGGGCCAACTTTCCAGCTAAGTCAACTATCAAGTCTGCTTTGTCGGCTCTAGTTTTTGCAGGATTGTGCAATTTGATCGCGTTTTGGGTTGCTTTGGGTTATTGTCGCGGCTGTTTAGCTCTGGACTTCTGGTTGTAGTTGAAGATGTCTTGGTTTTGTTTTGTGGCCTGCTACACTAAAATGGGCAATGGTACGTGCCTTGAATATATAGACCATTTAATTATATATCTATACCTAATTAGTATATGTTTATAAACTCTACCAATAAAAATGAAGTCAAAAACTCAACGGACAAAGAAAAATTAGAATATACCAAAAATTTGAACATTGAGCCTCGCCCGGGAATTGGTCATATCTATTCCATTGTTTAGGTTTTTTTAATTGACCTAATTAAACTAAATGGGCCATGTTACTTGGCCCAATAGAACACCTAATTATATCTTTATAAACTACTACCAATTAAACCCAAAGTCAAAAAACCCAAAAAAATGAAGATTGAGCTTGTGTTCATACCTTCACCGGGAATTGGTCATCTCCGATCAACCGTCGAGTTAGCCAAACAACTCGTCGGAATTGACCACCGTCTTTCGATCACCGTACTCATCATTCCTTATCCTTCCCGAACCGACGCCAGTGATTCCGCTTACATCGAATCCCTCTCCACGACGGATTGCCTCCGGTACGAAACAATCTCCGTCCCAGATCAACCAACCGGAGATCCATTACCGACTCACGTCTACATCGAGAATCAAAAGCCACAGGTTAGAGACGCAATCACGAAGCTCGTCGATCGAATCGACTCGCCGAAACTCGCCGGATTCGTCGTCGACATGTTCTGTACGTCGATGATAGATCTAGCTAACGAGTTCGGTGTCCCGAGTTACTTGGTTTACACATCGAACGCTACGTTTCTCGGAATCACTTTACATATCCAGTCGATGTACGACGATGACAAGTATGACGTCAGCGAGTTGGACGAGTCGGTCACTGAGTTGGAGTTTCCGTGTTTGACTCGTTCTTATCCTGTGAAATGTCTACCTTATCTCTTCGTTTCAAAGGAGTGGTTACCTTTCTTTCTAACTCAAGCTAGAAACTTCAGAAAGATGAAGGGTATTTTGGTAAATACAGTTGCTGAGCTTGAGCCACACGCTCTGAAGTTTTTCTCTGGTGGTGGTGATGGTAATGATCTTCCTCGAGCTTATCCGGTGGGGCCGGTGTTACATCTCGAGAATGATGATTCTGATAAAGAGAAGCAATCCGAGATTCTGCGGTGGCTGGATGAGCAACCGCAGAATTCAGTTGTTTTCCTCTGTTTCGGAAGCATGGGAGGTTTCAACGAGGAACAAACTAGAGAAATCGCGGTCGCGCTTGATCGAAGCGGACACCGGTTTCTCTGGTCACTCCGTCGTGCATCGCCGAATATAATGTTGGAGCGTCCTGGTGATTTCACGAATCTTGAGGAGGTTTTACCGGAAGGGTTTTTGGATAGAACATCGGAAAGAGGGAAGATAATCGGATGGGCTCCACAAGTGGCGGTGTTAGCGAAACCGGCGATAGGAGGATTCGTCACTCATTGCGGGTGGAACTCGATGCTCGAGAGCTTATGGTTTGGTGTTCCAATGGCGACTTGGCCGCTCTACGCGGAGCAGAGAGTGAACGCGTTTGAAATGGTGGAGGAGCTTGGATTAGCGGTAGAGATTCGGAAGTACTTCAATGGAGATCTTTTGGCCCGAGAAATGGAGGTTGTTGCGGCGGAGGATATAGAGAGAGCCATAAGGAGATTGATGGAGGAAGAGAGTGACGTTAGGAGTAGAGTCAAGGAGATGGCTGAGAAATGCCACGTGGCGTTAACGGACGGTGGATCTTCCAAGGTGGCTTTGAGAAAGTTTATTCAAGACGTGGCAGAGAACGTAGCGCCTTGAGTTGACGATGACTCGGTCCCAAAATGTTATAGTAGTATACTGTTAATTTGGTATGTATGTTAGTACGTTTTTCTTTTTTTTAATGTTTGATGTGTTTTTCCAAGGTATCAGAAAAATAAGAAACTAGATGATGATATGTAAAATTTTCCTCAAAAAGGAAAAGATGATATGTAATAATAGTATATATATGTGCATGGGACACTCGATTGTTACGTGAAATTGAAAGTTGTTGTTACGGATTATTTGGTAGACACCAACCCGTTACGTTTGAAGACGAACCGTTTTGGTGGTTACCAATTATTAAATCCGCTTCTAAATATTTTCATTGATACTTTTGTTGTGTATAACTGGACCGCAAGAGTTCCCTCCAATTGCAGCTACTGTTGGCTTCTCTTTGGCATATGTGGTCTAATCGATAGGAATTTCTAGTAAGCATTTAGGCATTTTAATAATTAGACGAAGATATATCACATCATGTTTTCACCTTACATGTTGAC